GAATTTCCAATATGTTTATGAAAACCGCAATCGCTTTACAATCTCGGGGTTCCTCGGCGCTGCAGCATGAGGGGCTTTATCTGGTCAGGACAGGATGTAGTGAGTGTGGGAGCGCAACACCCTATGTCTGTCAGCAGAGCTGGCCAGGAGCGTGGAAATGTGAGTCACACTTGAATTTGCTTCGAGCCATGGGTCCTGGCTTGTCAGGCCCTGGGTAAGCGGGCTGCCTGCCAGGAAGCCTTCCCTCTCTGGGGCATTCCAACCCTTCTCTCTTGTTCTTTAAAAGCACACCCCCAGGGGATCTGCTGGGGCTTGTGCCTTCCGCACTCTGGGCCTGGCAGAGGTTGGGATTGTGGATTTCCCTGGGTGGGCAGGTCTTTGGCCCACAGTCCTCCTCTGCCTCCTGGGGAAGGTTGGACCAGAGCATATCATGCCACCCCTGGGCTCTGATTTTACAGTTAGTTCCCTGGCATGCCTGCTCAGAGGGCCACTGGAGAGTACAAAGGTCAAGGAGAACTTCATTCCTTTTTTTTTTTTTAAGTTTTGCATCCTATTTTTCTCTGTTAGTGGTTATAACGTTAACAGTCACATTTGACTTCATAATGACAAAGTTTTGAAGGCTACGACATTCATCAGCAAATAATTATTGACTTACCAACCATGTGCCAGGCAAACAGCCAAAACCAAAGTCTCTGCCTCAAGACCAACAGAATATTTTTACTCCGATCACACCTTGAAGCGCTTCCATTTTGCGTCGTGTTTTAATTTTTGTCTTGTTTTCAAAGCTCCCAACTTAGCTAGTTTTATAGCATTTGTTGTTGATGTTTTGCTTTTTAAAGTTAAATTTTATTTTATTTTTTTTGCAGTCGGTTCTTAACTTTGACGTAGCTAAATATTTACCGGTTTCTTTGCTGACACTTGATTCTTGCATTCTCACCTCTCTGATTTCTGGATTCAGTTTCCTTCCTGAATGGGGATCATTCAATGAGGAGCCATTGTTACACGTCCAGGTTTTGTCTGCCTCAAAAGTATGTTGTGCCCTCTCTTGAATGGCATTATAGAACTTTAGGGCAATAGTTCTTTTCCTTAGCACTTTCAGGAGACTTTTTAAAATTTTGGTTCATATTTAATCCAGCGTGTCTATGAACTTGGAGTAGGAACCATTTTCACGTCAGCCAGGTCCACCATGTTGCCAGCCATGAATTCCATAATAAGTGAAAAACATTAGCTTTGCGTGGCGGAAGTGGTTATACCTTAGAAAGTACTTCCTGTCCATTCTCTCATTTGCCTGTGATAGTTTCCATTTCTTAATCTTTCTGACTGCATTCTGAGGAGTTTCCTTGCACCTGTTTTTATATTTATATGGAATACTGGGTTTATACTGATAGCCTTCAATAACTAATCTAATACGACAGGGCCTTCCCCGTCTTTCCCTTGTCTAGAATTCCTATCTCCTCCCTCCTAGCATAAGAAACAGTGGTTTGACCACATAAGCATGCATACTCAGTGGCAACACTCAGAATAGTTGTAACATTTTTTTTTTTTTTTAGCTGAGCCATCTTGCCACCTTTTGGCAGCTCAGCTCGGGCCAGGCATCGAACCGCTGTTGCTCAGAGCTCACACTCCTGAGCGAGCTCTTAACCAACTGAGCCACTCCACAGGCCCTAGTTGTAACATTTTATAACAGCATCAACACTTTGTAGACTGCTAAGTCAAGTTAGTAGCTCTTCCATCCATAGGATGTATACCATTAGGGGTATGCAGTCAAAATACTGTATTTAAAAGGTATTGGATGTATACTCTTTTCTCTGTATGGTTATTCATCTGATACACAGGCTTATTTTTTCTGTTTGCAATCAACTTTATGTTGTTTCCATTTTTATTTACTATTTTAGTATGTAAAATACTTACATGGTTCTAAGATCAAAACTAAAAAGTGCTTAGAGAAATTGTACTGCCATCGCTATTTTAGATTCTGGTTTATCTTTTCTGTTTATATATATATTATTTTTAAAAATAAGTAAACGTATATTTATATTTTGTGCAAATGTATCCTTTTTCCCTTTCTCCCTTATTTCCATTTGTTTCTTTTTTTTTTCAACTGGTGCCTCAATGACTAAAATCACCTGTGTACCTGTTAGTTCACATTATGAACATATATCTTCAGGGTCAATACCCAGAAACAGAATTGCTGGGTCAGAGGGCATGCATGTGTTGCTCCCCTCCGTGTACTTCCATTTTGTGTTCCCCTTTGGAGGGTGGGAGAATGCGTTTCTGCCTTGCCTGCCGCGTGCTGCCAAGCTTCTGAATTTTCACTGGCCCGGAAGGAAAGACGCGATACCTCAGTGTAGTTTTAATGTGCATTTCTCTGACTTTGAATGAAATAGGGCATCTTTTCATATGTTTAAGTACCGCTGGTATATCTTCCTCTTTGAATTGTGTTTGTCTTTTTCCCGGTGTCACTGAAGTATAATGGACACATACATTGTACAACGGCAGTTGTTGTATACCATAATGACCTGATATATGTATATATTGTGAAATGGTTATCACAATGTTTAGCTAACACCCATTACCTCACAGAGTTAACGATTTTTGTTGTTGTTTGTCCTTTATCCACTTTTCTGTCTTTTTTGCCAACTTCTCTCTCAATTTTTTTAAAGGAATTTTTTTATATAAATTTTAATGATTAGTCCTTTTTCTGTGATATAAGTTACCAGCATTTTCTCTCATTTTGTCATTTGTCTAATGACTCAAGGCCTGTTTTCTTGATCACCATGTTATCACTTGTGCAGTTAAGAGTAACAGGCTTATGTAGGACCTTATACTGAGACACCAGTTACTTTGCTTATAAGAGATAACAAAATCCAGAACTCACAAAATAAAGACAAAACCCGAAAGAACCTTACAAAGACACAGGCACAGAAGGCTTACCTATAAAGTATATTCATAGGATAAAGCTGGAATAACTTAACATATTGCATAACTGAATCAAAATTCAGAATATTTTAACAGCCTGGAAATACGGGCCAAAATGCACAAAATAAAACTTAGTAGAAATACTGTTTTGTATTTAGGCTTATAAAAGATTAATCTCATAGGTTCAAGATTGGGGATACCTGCCTTCACAGAAATTCATGTGTGTGTAAACTTTGGGTTTAGTTGGTCACACACTTATATATGCCCAACAGCATCATATAATGGCTAAAAGAAAGTGCATTCTTTTAAAGAGCAGTTTTGTGTGTGTGTGTGTGTGTGTGTGTGTTTAATTTTCTTGGGGAACAGTGTGTTTTTCCAGGACCCATCAGCTCCAAGTCAAGTAGTTGTTTCAATCTAGTTGTGGAGGGTGCAGCTCCGTGGCCCATGTGGGGATCGAACCGGCAACCTTGGTGTTATGAGCACTGTGCTCCAACCACCTGAGCTCACCAGCTGCCCCCAGAAATTGCACTCTTGGCGTCACTAGTAGGAGGTCTTATCCTGATCATGCAGAAAACTGCCCCCTTTGTATTCGACACTTACCGAACCACATCCAGACGGTGCACAAATTTGGGGAACCACAGGTCCAGGCAGGGGGTCACGGATGTCTGAAAGCAAGCCCAAAGCAGGAGGTCTGAGTTAGTGAACCATTTGGAAGATTTCACCTGGAGAAGGAAAGCAAGTAACTTGTGAAATATGTCAAGGCTGTAGCATGGGGACGAGACTAGAATTACTTGGTCCAGCTCAAGCCAGCAGGCCGAGGACATGTGGTCATGACCCACAGCAGCCAGGCTCCCTGGGAAGAGGAACTTTTTAATTAGGACTGCTGGTCAGCGGAACAGCTGCCTTTCTCTTTCTTCCTTTTTTTTTTCCTGAAGAGCTGCCTTCTTAGCCTACCAGCTCCCTGTGGCTGAAGGCGTTTGGACAGAGGTGTGGGGGCTGGTTGGGGGGCGGCGGGGGAGATAGGCTGCGTCGGTGTGAGGCAGCTTAGGCACCAGTAGTTCTTGTCTGGCTCATGGGAAGCAATCGATCCTTTCTTTCTGGTGTCTTCAGTTTGTGGGGAGGAAGAGCAGGTGGGGGAAGTGGCCTGTGGGGTTTTTTTGGCTGATCAAAGTCGCTTAAAAATGTGGAGAAACATTCGTCTGTAGGATTTAATGTGAACATGTGTCAACGCTGAGTTTCCGCCAAGACCCTGAGCCAGTTTCCTGAGAGCAGGAGCTGCGCCTCCCAGAGTGGTGTCTGTGGGCCTGCGCCTCCCACTGGTCCTCCGCTCCCCATTTATAATCAGTGTTGGGGCCCCCACCCCGCTTACCGTGTCCGACGGGACCAAGAGCGATGTCTACGGATTGTACTTGCCAAAGCCCTGCTCGGAGATCTCAGAATAGCGCCCATGATGATCTCGTTGTCACTTTAAGGTGCACACAGATTGCCTGGGGATGGGGTCAGATGCAGACGTGAGAGGTGGAGCCCAAGATGCTGCGTCTTCTAAGCTCCAGGGGTCACCCTGAGTGGCAGGGGCCTGAAGGCAGCAGTCCACATGCGCCCCCCACAAACCATTTGTAACAGAACCAGCTGCTCCGGACCGCTTGCTTGTTTCACATGCAGATTCCTAGGCTGCCCCTCTGATCTCTGGGACCAGGACCTCTAGCAGTGGAGCCCAGGAGCCAGCTCTCTGGGCTGGCCGTGCAGGAGATTCTCCCGCCCATTAAGGGTTCTGAACCACGAGCCTTGGGAGAATGCAGAGGGTGGTGGAGACTGGAGGAGTGCCTCGTTCAAGGGATGCAGTGAGCCGACACCAAGTTGGCCGCAGGGAACAGGCCACGCACAGAGGGTGCCAAAAAAATGGATACACATTTTAAGAAAGGAAAACTGTATTAAAATTGTGATGCTTACTACATATATATACTGATAACCAAAGATGAATACAAGTCACGTTGGACTTCTGCAATTACAAGAGGTGCTCACACTGGTTCCCATCAGCATCCAGACACTTCTGATTACTGCGAGCCACTGCTTGAGCGACGTTGACCAAAGTGCCCACTTGTATACATTCTTTTGGCACCCCTGGTATAGGTACCGCTTGGTGGGAAAGGCTGGCTGAGGGTCTCTGGACGAGCTGGGGCCTCCACTGCTCCTCTGTGACGGTCCGATGATACTATCTGATGACCCTTTTCGTGTCCCCCCGTCTTGCCTTGTTCTTCCAGTCGTCCAGCATGCTCCGCCCACCCCACGCCCAGGCACGCTGACCATGAGCCTCAACTCCTCCCTGGGTCACTGGAAGGAGCTGAGCAACCTCACCGAGGAGGCGGGTGGCGAAGGGGGCTTCATCGTCACCGAGTTCGTCGCCATTGTTATCATCACCATTTTCGTCTGCCTGGGCAACCTGGTCATCGTGGTGACCTTGTACAAGAAGTCCTACCTCCTCACCCTCAGCAACAAGTTCGTCTTCAGCCTGACGCTGTCCAACTTCCTGCTGTCGGTGCTGGTGCTACCCTTCGTGGTGACGAGCGCCATCCGGCGGGAATGGATCTTTGGGGTGGTCTGGTGCAACTTCTCCGCCCTCCTCTACCTGCTGATCAGCTCGGCCAGCATGCTGACGCTCGGGGTCATTGCTATCGACCGGTAAGCTTGCCACAGACTTAGAGAACTGGGGGAGGTGGGCACAGGGGACCTGGGGAGGTCATCTGGGACTTCCATGCCATCCGAGTGCTGTGGGAGGGTGTCGGGGGGCTCTGCAGGGAGAGGATGAGAAAGCAGGGTTCAGCCTTTGCTTCCATCCCTTCATCCAGAGAGGCCTGGATGTATCTGATTTACCCTGCATGCTGTTTATCTCTTTTAAAAAAGGCTTCATTGCTTAAAGAGAGTTCTAGAGACCGCTGATTCTCAGTTGATGATGAGAGACAGAGCTGAGGAAGGTCTGTTGCTGTGGCTTGGAGCTGGGCCAGGGCCCCCCAAAGAGGCAGAGAGTTCAGTCTGGTTTGGAAGGGGAGCAGGGGAAGGAAGGCGGCTCGGGGGATTAAGACGGTGGCACCTGGGGGAGATGGCGAGTGATTTCAAAAATCTGGGTTGCCCCCTCCAGCGGTCTAGCTGGCTCAGACAGTAAAAAGTGTCACTGCTGATGTCCCAGCGCTCTAATGGCAGGGTCCGTCAGACTCCCGCATGATGCTGTCAGAGCTGGATATGTGAGTCTCGCAGGCTTTGACAGCGAGTTTCCAGCCCCTGGATTCATCCTGTGGGTTGGCATTTTGCTGACGGTCCTTTCATTCATCCCAGGCAGGGGTAGATTTCATGAGGGCAAAAAGGGTGGATTCAAGTTTAGTGTGATCTTCAGGATTGAGGAGGAAGCTGGCAATGGAGTCAGGGAAACACAGAGATGGAGAGCCAGCGATATTGTCACTTGGTGATCCAAGTCCCCGGGCTCTTTTGGGACCATCAGGGTTTTGGCCAATGAGTAGCCGCTGGATTGCCTATCCAGACACAGCCATCCACTAGGCCGGAGGCCAGAATCCTGTTGGCTGTGTGAATATAGACTGAGGGAAGCAGTCGGTCATTCCGCCCTGCGGTGGATGGAACTCCAGCTCTGAAAGGTATTCTAATAAGCGAACGTATTGGTTAGTAATCGTGAAGAAACCACCAGTGCTGGTAGGAGGTTGTTCAGGACACGTTGACGTGTTCCCCCGAGGTGTCTGCAGTTGGCTGAGGTTTTCTCTGTGTTTGGAGTGGAGCCATCTTAGGAAAACCAGGGTCCTTATCAAAATGGCTGGTCTTGTGGCAGGACAGAGAAGCATCTGGAGCCCTTGCGTGCATGTCAGCCTTTCAGTTACACGTGGCATCAGGAAAGCCTCTTTTGGGATCAAGGGTCATACTTGGGCTCGTGTCTAGAAGTGAGATGTTGGCGAGCAGATGGAGAGCTTCTGAAGACAGTTCAGAGCACAGAAAGCACAGGGAACTGCTGGATTCCGGCCTCTGTCCACGAGCAGGGCAGTGGGGGGTTGCTTTTGTTCTGTACTTTCCTTTGAACCTGCAACGAGGCCTAAACGAGGCTTAATTTTTTTTTTTAAATGAAGTTTCAAATCTATGAAATCCATTTTTTTTTTTTGTGGACAGATGTGGAGAAATGTCCTGTGTCTTGATAGAGGTGTAGGTTTGTGCATTTCAAAAGAACCAAAGTAACCCCTGGTTGGTGTGGATCTGCACAGGCAGCTCTCTGGCCGCTCTGGCTGCGGGGAGACTGGCCCCCTGGGAGCCAGTGCCGCCCTCTGGTCAGGCATCCAGTGGGACTCAGACTCAGCTGGGAGGAATCACTGTCACATCTGCTGGACTTGCTCATGCCCGGAGCCTTCGCCAGCGAGTGATATAAGCACCACGTGTTACAATAAAGCAGGAGTCTAGCCATAAAATAATAGTCGCCACAGTGGGTCTGAAGGCTGGCCAGAAGCTGAGTTGCAGAGGACAGCTTATCAGTCGTAACTGCTTTTACGAACGTCAGTACAGTCCCCATGCCTGGCCTCCCACCCCTACCTGCACTGTCACCCTGAGGTGTCTGAGCTCAGAGGGCCTGCACGTATTTTAAAGGGGCAGAGAAAAGTAGATACTTGCCTTGATTCTTTTTCAAAGAGAAGGAAACCTTCCCAGAAGTCCCCCTAACCCCACCCTAGCAACACCCCCCCCACACACACACACACATTTCATGAAACAGCATTTCCCTTGGATCAAATATCTGGGTGGGGAGGGTCTGTCTACCTAGGAGAGCAGTGAGTGTCCACCTGGTATGTGCTCCCTGTTTGGACTTCTCTCTCAGCCCCCTCTGTCCTGTTCCAGCTACTATGCTGTCCTGTACCCCATGGTGTACCCCATGAAGATGACAGGGAACCGAGCCGTCATGGCGCTGGTCTACATCTGGCTGCACTCCCTCATCGGCTGCCTGCCGCCTCTGTTTGGCTGGTCGTCCGTCGAGTTTGATGAGTTCAAGTGGATGTGCGTGGCTGCGTGGCACCGGGAGCCTGGCTACACGGCCTTCTGGCAGGTGTGGTGTGCCCTGTTCCCCTTCGCGGTCATGCTGGTGTGTTACGGCTTCATCTTCCGCGTGGCCAGGGTCAAGGCGCGCAAGGTACACTGTGGCACCGTGGTCATCGCGGAGGTGGACGCGCAGAGGGACGGGAGGAAGAACTCCAGCACGTCCACCTCGTCCTCGGGCAGTCGGAGGAACGCCTTTCAGGGCGTCGTCTACTCGGCCAACCAGTGCAAAGCCCTCATCACCATCCTGGTGGTCCTCGGGGCCTTCATGGTCACCTGGGGCCCCTACATGGTTGTCATCACCTCGGAGGCCCTCTGGGGGGAGAACTACGTCTCCCCGAGCCTGGAGACCTGGGCCACGTGGCTGTCCTTCACCAGTGCCGTCTGCCACCCCCTGATCTACGGACTCTGGAACAAGACGGTTCGCAAGGAGCTGCTGGGTATGTGCTTTGGGGACCGGTATTACCGGGAACCATTTGTACAGCGGCAGAGGACTTCCAGGCTCTTCAGCATTTCCAACAGGATCACAGGTAATGTGGGGTCTTGTCAGGAAAGGGGTGCCCGCCTGCAGCCAGGTGTGCCTGTGGTCCTCTCGGCTGCTCTGGCATGTTGTCGGGTGAGGTCTCAGACTGATTGTGGCCTCAGGCTGAAAGCACATGATTCCTTTAGGGGAAGAATATCCCAGAGGGTCCGCAGTGATTCCTGCAGCGTTTCTGAGCTGAGCAGCTCAAAGCAGGGGACACCAGAGTTCAGCAGTCTGTTTTCTGTCACCCCAGCCATGGCCCGCTGGCCTCGAGTGTAGTTCCTTCTGTCTAGACACAAAAAAGCCCAAGCACTGGCCAGGCTGCCTTCTCCTCTCGGCCAATCCTTTCCTTTCAATGCTTTTTCAAGCGCTCCGTCCCCTCCTCACTGCTCATCCTCCGACATGCTCGACCTTGGGCCTTTCATCACAGGTCCGCAGTGTCCTCATGTGGTCCCTGGTGATTCAGGATGTGTCAGTGCCAAACCTCAGCCCCCACCCCGCCCCACTGAAATGTCACTGTGGGGTACATGTAAAGCTGCTCTGATGATTGATTCC